GGTGGTCAGACACTGAAGATACACGTCAGCCTTTACTCCCGTACTGGGTAAGATGATGGGGCCCCTGGAGGCCTTTGGAGGCCCCTGGAAGCCTGGAAACCCCTAGAGGCCCCTGAGGCCCGCCTGTCCTGGCTTGAAGGCAAGCTGATCTTTTTTGGAGGTGGGAATTGAGGGCGTAGCCCTAAACCCTAACAGGAAGTAAGTTGGGTGGTAGCCTGTGAATTCTCACAGCGGGTGGGAGTTTTGAAAAAGCCCAGCTTCGTGGCTTCTTAGGCAACATCCACGAGGGCGATGTGCCGCCACCCACAGATCCCTGGAAGTGTGGTGGCGCCATCGGCGCATGGATACTCAGCCCTGCGGAGGTAGACGCACTAAACCCTAAACCTATTGCACTTACTTAGGCTGTTACAGTAGGTGAAGAAAAGGACGAATGAAATTGTTAGCAAGGATACCACGGCAAGGCCCTTCAGGGTTTAGGTTTTAGGGTTTAGGGTTTAGGCCCACCATCCTGATGTCCCTCCAAGGGACGGTTTGTAGTTGTTGAAGACCCTGCAAATTCCCAGTAGCCGACTGAAGCCCAAACCTGCGAACGCTAAAATCATAGCCCTAAACCCTGAAGGGTTGACTGAAAATTGAGGAACCCGGGGTGAAGGTTGCAGAGGAAATCCCTGTCCTGAGTTGAAAGCAACTCGAAGGGAGCCGTGTGTATCCTGAAGCCGAGATGCATTCTAGTACTTGTTATAATGCAGGCCCCTACATTTTCATTCTGAAGCCCCAAAGCCTGACTTGAAAATCTGAAAAATTCCGAAAACCAAAGCATTCCGAATCCTAAATGCCTGATTTCTACCGCCCAAGCCCCAGCCCTCAAAAAGTATATGGGTGGTTGTCAAAACTATGGTCCCTTTTTGGATCCCTATTATAATACGGCACTTATTATTTAGGGCACCTAAAAACGGACCATAATTTTGACAACCACCCATATGCGAAATCCTCAGGACTTCATCGGGCGATTGTCGCAGAAGAGTTCCATTCGTTCCGGCCAGATGGTGGGGATCCCCTGCAGTCAGTTCAGGGTGGTTTGGGGCTTAGGGTTTAGGGTTATGTAGGGATAATGGAAAAGAAAATGGAAGCTACTACAAGGGGTTATATGGGTTTAATGGGGTAGGGTTTAGGGTTTAGGGTGATGGGTTGCAGGATTCCAGTAGCAGGCTTTATTCCGGCTTCTTACCCCGTATGATCACCGGGTATCACTGGGTCGACCTTCTCAGATACCTATATCCTTGTGACTTTTGGAGTGCAACAACGTTGTTTGCACAAGAGCACGGAGCCGACGCCAACGGCCCTGACCGATGCCAGTAAAGTTTCGTGCAACCTTTGTTCCCATCAAATCCGAATCCCCAAAGTGTTGAGGTTTACGATTGTGGGCCCCGGATTTTTCAGGGTAAGCTTGCTGATTTCATCGGCGGTAAAAATTGGCAAGAGTTCAATTCCTGTATTCCCGAGTAACCACCAGCAAGTATGCTATCCCAATTAATACTATAGTAGTTTCCTTTTTTTCCATATTCCCTTATAATGCTAGATTCAATTTTGTCTTCCATTATTCCCTTATCATACTAGATTCCAATTTCTCTTCCACTATTCCCTTAGCACACTAGTTTCCATTTTTCCATTATCCCCTCATAAGACCCTAAACCCTAAAACCCTAAACCCTGAACCCTAAACCCTGAATCCTAAACCCTTAACCCTAACTACTATAAACGATAGTACTCGGCAGTGGTTGGCCCTTGAGGGTTGAGATCCGACAACCATGATCGGATAATCAGATTCCGGTCCACGTCGTCTTTGAATTAAAGGGACTCTAATGGGAACCCCAAATAGGGAACCACAAGAATATAGCAGGAATATAATGGAATATGAGGACCCTGGTAGGTATATTCCTATTATATACCTACTATATTCTTGGGGTTCCTGGTTTGGGGTTCCCAGTAAGGTCCCTTTATTACTGAGTTTGCTAGCGTTTAGGGCTCAGAGCTTCATCCTTACTGAGTTTGCTGGGGTTCAGGGTTTAGGGTTTTAGGGCCTTTGAATCCTTAGTGAGTTTAGGGCTTTTGCTATTAGGGCCCCGATCCCTGGGAGCAGGCGGGGATTCTGCAGCGACTGCAGCCAAAGATACCCCATGACAGAGAACCGCAAGCCCTGAGGTGGGTACTGCCCCCACTCATTGACAGTTGGATAAGATCCTTAATATGATTTTAAATATGCCTTAATATAACCCGTATTGTAGACGGTTGGTGGGCGGGACCCAAGAAACATTCTACTTGGATCCTGAGTCGTAGGCTCCCCCAAGTTAGCTTGGAACCTGAAAAGGCATGCCATCAAAATCAAGGGCTGTCCTTCCAAAAGTGCGATTCCAAATTGGTCCTGGTACGCATGCGACGCCAACCTCCAAGCCTACTTTACCCGAAAGACTGGGCCAGCTGTAATTAGGGTTTAGGGTTTACGGTTTAGGGCTCAGGGCTGAGGGCTTAGAATCCCAGAAGCGCCTCAGGTGCAGGAGCATGGGCTGCTGCAGAAAGCAGTCATGAGGCCTTTTGAAAGCAGGGCTTGCACAGTCCCAGGCAAGCTGATGACAGGTTAGGTCATGGTGCGACCTTAGAAGCTGGCAAGGCTTGGCAGGAGGTTTACTGTTTCCCCAAAGTCCGTCAGGGAAATATTTGCGGTCTCGCAGTTAAGCTCCACACTAAAGTCTTCTCATGCAGGCGGCCCCTGAACTCTTCAGCCTATAAGTTTAGCGTCTCCAGGCCCAACAGCGTGCGCTGCTTGATGTGGGACACGATATGCACCGTCACCATCATCCATGATGCTTCTTACGATGCATTGGAGGGCTTTTGCAGAACTTCCCAAGCCCTGCCTTGAGGACTACTTCTTGTAGCTTTTTGTTTCTGAGCGCCCCGCAGACTGGGCTGTGGTGGATGCAAAACCCAAACCCTGAATATGAACTACCAAAACATCTCTATAACCACGAGCGTTGGAGACTTGGGCTTAGGGCTTCCACCATGGCTGCAATGTTGGATCCGCCGCCACCGCCGCCGCCGCCGCCGCAGCAGCAGCAGCAGCAGCAACAACAACACCACCACAGCCAGTGTGAGACGTCTTCTGTGTGAAGCTTGAGCTCAGAACTCTGTGACAGTTGTACATTCCTGCCTGCATGATACAAAACCCACACGTTACGTAGCTCTGGGGTGAACTTAACAAAGCATCATGCGTAGGCACTGATGATAGCAGTCTATGCCATCCCCCAAGAGAACTTCAACGTTTCTCTCATGATTCCTTCTTGGAATTCCTGAGGATAACCACCCAGCAAAATCAGGCATTGATGATTCCCGTCCTGTCTGCGTTTCCGATCGAACGAGTCGGTTTGCCGCAGACCCTTGAGCAGCCCTGCAGTTTGAGAATTCTGCTTTGTACTTCGGGGTTTGAATGGGAATGGGATGTATAATGGCAAAGGATAGTGGTTTCCATTGTCTTTTCCATTATCCCAACACAACCCCTACATAACCCCTATAAATGGTAGTTTCCCCAAATATGGGGACCATAGTTTTTTGACACCCAAAATATTATGATCCTTATTATGCGGAACCCCAAAAGGGTATTCCTAATATTGGGAAGCCCCCCAAGGGCAGGGGTGTCGACGTCTGCTATGGAAATATCGTAGAAATGCCAGATGTAGGACTCAGCAGGTTGTACAGTGTGGGGAAAGCTTGCGGGGCGGGGGTGGTATATAGGGATTATGGGAAAAAATGGAAACTACTCTAGTACATTGGGGCACTATTCGGATAATAGAAAAGGAAATGGAAAGTACCATTTAGGATCGCCGGGTCAGGAACATTTAGGGTTAAAACCTAAACCCTGACACCTAAACGCTAAACCCGAAACCCTAAACCTTGTGAATAGCTCTTGCAGTGCCTCAGGGTATTACAGGGGAGCCAAGTTCAACACTTGCACATGGGGGCTTCAAAAACCGAGTCCCTACGGTATTTTGGTGTAATACTGGGACTATGGAAAAGAAAATGGAAACTACTATAGTGCATTGGGGGAATATTAGGATAATGGGGTCCACAAGAGGATGTTCATGTGTGAGAAAGGTTCGCATCTGAGGCTCATTAGCAGCAGCGTGTGGCTGGTGGATCTCTTCGTGTCCTTCTTCCGCGGCTATCTGGACATTCGCACAGGCGCGGCATGGAAAATTCTGAACGAGTTCAGCAAAATCTGGTTTCTGATTAAGGGCTCAGAGTGTAAGACAGTGCTCATGATCAGGATGCGAGGCTGTTGATAGCTCGGACTTGGCGAAGGAGTTCTTCAGAGATCTGTTCAGAAGCTTGCTTAGCTTCGGAACCCTCCTGCCCATTTGGCATTTGTCCGTGCACCTGCACCAAGATAAGGGCTGACCAACTCACCAAGACCGTGCCTTGTGTCCAGTATCTAGGCATGTTGCGGGATGGTTTTACGATCAAGGCTTGTGCCAACACACACCCAGCGCCACGGAACTCGCATAAACAGAATGATCAGCCCTCGGGGGCTTAGAACTCGGTACCTGCAGTAGAGCCGAAGCTGCATGAGTTTGTTCTGTTGTTGCCTGTCAGTGCTCCGTGCGCCCGATGTCGCCATGGCCTTTTGTAAGCTTTTGAAAGTTGCCTCGGTCCAAATCTGAGAAGCGGTCCCGATAGTGCTTTTTGCAACTTTGCAAAGCGGGCATACCCGTCCCGTAGTTCCTTCCGTGAAGCCGCACTACACGACTCCTGTGCACCATACAGCATGTCAGCATGGTTTTGATTTTTGCTAGCACAAGTGCACCGTTATTGCATAAAGATGGCCTTCAGCCTTCAACATCTAGAGCTTTGCCAGCTTGACACGGCCAAACAAATTGTGAGGCCTCTTCTGGCTTCAGGAAACCCGAATCCCATCTAATCCCTAAACTTTGCCTCAGAGGTTTCGTGGAGATGAGATTCCGACGCATTGCACGCAACTATCTGACGCACTGGTTCGCGGCAGACTTGGCCATGATCCTGTTGGATGTATCTCTGCTTGAGGAAAGGAGGGACTGTGTCTATAGTCCCCCTTAAGTAGTTAGAATATGGGATATATGGGATCTTATTATGGTTATTGTCAAATCCATATTCTGTCTACCTCAGGGGGACTATAGGTGAGATTTGAAGCATAAAGCTAGCACTGTCAATTTCTCAAGCTCAGGCAGCCTCCCTCTTCTTGATGGAAGACGATGCTAGGCCGTGGTTAAATGGGACTTGAGCTTGTTTCTGCAAGCCCCCAGGAGAGCATGAATGACCTGTTTGCTATAATGTCTGAATAAGATTAGCTGTTGCAGGGTCACACTGGTTTGACGTGAAGGCTGCTGCTCGTTTGAGTGCAAGAAGTGCAACACTCAAACCGTCCCGATTCGCGAGCCCCCTTTTAGCATGGAAAACCCGAGTCGTAAGCAGGTACTTTCCTCCAAGAATCCATTGTTAAGTATACATAACACCGCGGTGTTTTGTAATATTCCTACCCCGTTTTACAATAGGCAGCTTTCTGCAAGAAAAGGATACGGTCGATGCACTTACACTGTTGAGACTTCTGCGAAATCTGCGGCTTCTTCGCCTGCTGTGCCTCTCCCTGAAATAGTCAAGTTTTTCTGAGTATCGTGGGTCTCTTCTGGGTAGCCAGTACAGTACGGCATTTGTATTGGGTTACACAAGCTGCGTGTCGCTTTTTACTTTCAACTATACTGAGGAGAGATAATTCGGGACGGGTCCGCCCAAAAGGGAGCCCGAAAATGGGAGCCTAATTTTCCGCACTGTCCCTTTTTTGATTGTTGGGTGTCAACGCCTCGTTGCTGCAACACATTCTCTTCTGACCCTCAACGGTATTTTCCCTAGATAGGGCTGCCCCTATATACACCCCAACATATCATAATCCTTATGATTGAGAACCCCGAAACCCTAAACCCTAAACCCAGCAGACCCCCAAGTATTTTAATCCTGATTATTGGCAACCCCAGCATGGTACCCTAAGTTTGGGAACCCCCACTCACCCGCTAGGTGAAACCAGCAGACGCCTTGCAAAACTTGAGTTGGAGGCCTTGCACGAACCCTAAACCGTAAATCCCCCTAAACCCCCCTAAACCCCCCCTAAACCCTAAACCCCCTAAACCCCAAACCACCCTAAACCTTTTTTTCAAAGTTGATGCAAAATCTTCAGGACCACAACCTTGAAACTCCAAAGCACCAGTGGGCTATAGTCTAAACTCCAAAAAGGGGGGTTCTATGGGGAGGTTAAGGGTTTAGGGTCTAAAACTCCTTAAAGGGGAGTTATATAGGGGATTAAATATGGGAGTGTTATAGGGTATTTAAGCGGGGGTACTGGGACCTTAGACTCTAGCTCTGTTGATTTGAGGAAGATGTCCGACCGATTCACCATTCTGCGCGAGCTCTTCTTCACATTGGAGCGCCATGACGATTTCTAGTCCCCTTAAGTAGATAGAATACGGCTTTGAGTATACTACAATAAGATCCCCATATACCCCATGTTCTATCTACACAAGGGGGATTACATCTCAACATTGTTCATGGAGGTTGCATTCTACTGCTGCTTGCTCCATACCGTCTTGTTTGAAGATACTGTTATCGCCGCTGACTTAGATCAGGATGACATTGAAATCGGGGTAGGTTCTCTCCAATGGTTTCTCATTCAGAGGGTCCTGCTGAATTTCTGTTCTCTTCTGCTGTGTTGAGTCATCTTTCAGTTTAGGGTATTGGTGTTTAGGGACATTATGCCCAGTAACGGAGAATCAAATGGACAATAAAATGGAAAATGAAATGGAAACTGAGGTTTAGGGTTTAGGGTCTTTGTTTTTAGGGGTTTAGGGTGCTGACGACCCACCAGTGAGACGAATTTCGATCCCAAACCTTTCGCCGAGCCTCGAAGCAGTCACAATCCCTAAGGGTCCAAGGAGCCAAACAACAGGGTTTTAGCGCCCAAATACCATTAACATCATAGTACTTGGAGCCTTAAGCCATATTATTTGGGTCCGTGGACCGTCAGGTAATGTATTGCTTCAAATACTACGTGGTACTGTAAGAGCTTGTAGAGGACAGTGAGCCTTGATTAAGTTTATTGTGAAGCTTCAATCTCCACCCCTAAATCTTAAATCTTTTTCCACAGTCGGAGTCGAAAGTATGCCAGGCCACCTGAGTTTTGAACCTTCCAATTCGGAGGTATGAGCTGGAGTGGACCTCCGTGTACTTTGCCACGTTTGCAGGCGCGTTAAAATGTGCGACCTCTAGTATCGCCTAGCTCCGGCCATACATAGTTTGGGATTTGAACTTGGCTCAGCTTCAAAAAGCACCAACGTTTAGTGATATGTGTACATGCGCACATGCATACGAAATCATAGGATGCGTGGTCCTTGAAGGAAGACGCTAGTCCTTGTGCCCGTCCTACTGAGCACAGTTGACACCCGTTGCTTTAGGGACCTGCCGAGGTCACACATCAATCGTTTTGTAGCAACATCACGTGACCCGCCATGATATTCCCATTCAGAGTCCATGTCCTGAGTTTCAACACGGAATGTGCTGTCTACAGCCCAAAGGGGGGCAAGGCTTCTCTCGGATGCTTGAAACAAGGTACTAGAGATAGAGGATGCTCTGCTACTTCCACAAAGACAGAGTGAAAGCACACCATCCTTCACCAGCTGATGGCAACTAAGAGGGAAGGGCTGAAAATGAGTTTTACCGCCTCAAACCCTGAGCCCCAAGAGTTTGCTTGGAACAGGCGTTCTTCAACACCTGGGAGTCATCGCCTTGCTCTGTCACTTTGTAGGTTGCGCTTGGTCTCTAGGCTGAAGGCTTGGGCTCGGGGTTCAGGAATAGCGTGTAGGGTGCAAGGGCAGGGTTTAGAGCGCAAGATGTTTTGGGCTTGGGGTTTGGCAGTTGCTTCTGATGCATGTTGCTTATGTTGGGGTGGGATGTGATGCTCAGTATGTTTACAGAAATTTTCTTCGCAGGGTTAGATGGGAATTGCAGGGCATGGAAAGGCGATGAGTGTTTCTTGGTTGGAGTATCACGAACGCTTTCATGCGAAGAAGCATTCAGACCTTCATCATACCTCCAGTCCGCACTCAGCAGCTAAAGGTGCAGAAGGGTTCTACCAGCGCTAATTGTCGATCGACAGCAAGGGCGGTACTTCGGGTTTCCGGCATTTGGGTTTAGGGGGCATTCAGATGTCCAGGTTACCCCAAAGTCCACCCTGTTCTTTGATGAGCCTACAAGTTGTCAGTTTGTACAATTAATGCTTGTAACCCTAGGGCTTGGGTCCCAAATACCCTTACTAAGGACCGTATTGCATTGTTTAGGGACCCCAACCCAAGGGTACAAACCCTAACGGTACAAAGGAAACTCCCTCAAGTTGCATGCTGATGAAGAACCAGGACTTGGGCTAGGGCTTAGGGTTTAGGGCCTGTATGTGTATCCTTCACAGCGCTATGCTTAGTCATGTGGAGCGTCGAAGCAGGACCGTGATACTGAAGCCACCCGCACATCTTCAATCCTGAAACTGGGTGTGATGCAGGCGTGCGGCCTGAATAAGAAGCAAGATTATCCCCCCATAGTTTACATATGTAAGCCTATGTATTTGTATATTACATTTAGACATACCAGTACAGTATGCATGTTCGTGGAGGTTTGTATTTAGATATATAGAGATATGTACATATATGTATTTACATATGCATAAGCTGTATGCCCGCAAGATATCAAACCCAAGAGCCCAAGCCCCATTCTAATCATTCAGGTCCCTAGAGTAGCTGACAAGACAAGGTATGCCTTGGGCGGAATGTCCACCGCAGAGATTACCTGGGCCTCCTGGTTCCTCAAATTAGGGGTACCCTTTTGGGGGGGGGGGGTAAAGGTTTTAAGAGGGTTATACAGGGATGATGGAAAAGAAAATGGAAACTACTATTTAGGGTTTAGGGTCTTCCGGGTCTTCCAACAAGGGCATTGGGTTTGGGATTTGGCGTTGCCGCTGAAGGGAAGCCTCTAAGTCTGAATTCATAGCCTGGCACCTACAGCCCAAGCTGCGTTGTGAGCAGGCTGGCGCTTGTAATTGTAAAGCACGAAGCCTGAGCCCCAAACCCTAAACCGCTCGGTGAGCAGGGGAAGCCTGAGTCCTGAACCCCGATATACGCGGCAAGCAGAAGGGCAGTGGACCACCAAGGCACCAGTAAGAGTTTGGCGGCTCTCCAGAATCATATCCCCCAAAAGGGAGCCTGACCAGTCTTGCATGTGAAAGAGATGCCATGAATGCCTTCATGGTGACACCTCCACGTAGTTTCTGACACCCTAAACCCTAAACGGCCCAACACCCTAAACCCTAAACCGGGTTGTGCAGCATGGCGTTCCTATGTGTGAGAAACTGCGGTGCAATTGCTTGTCGCCATGAAGCAGCTAGAAAAACAGCTGGGTTAGCGTGTCAGTGAGTACACACAGGTCACTGCGCCTGCAAGGATTCAATCTGGCATTCTTTTGCATGCAGGTGGGCAGGTACTTTGCTCATTCTGCAAGACCTGAGCTTCAGACTGACACTAAAGTCCATTTCTGACAAGAAGTCCGAGATAAGCCATCTCTCGCTCGCTCGCTCTGTCCCTCTCTCTCTCTCTCTCTCTCTCCGTACCTCCTCTCGCTGTCCTCCCATATTGAAACACTGACAGTTGTATTCTTCAACCTGCAGTATGTCCAAAACACCCTCAGCTCTCACCCACCCAGGTGAAAGCTCACATCGTGGAAAGGGGAGAGGAGTTTAGTAACTCAGCCGGCTGGTTCTACTTCTACATGTGCCTTTGCTAAACATATGGCCAGAAAATCAGCATGAGTTTTGCTTGCAACACGTATGGCCGCTCGGGCTGTGACTTGACACTTGCCGCAGATTACACAAACCGGGCCCCTCGCACGATGACCTAGAGCTCCGAACTTGCCGCCAAGCAGGTATCTATGCAAGCTGTTACGGCAGGGAAGTGCTAGTGCTGAGGAAGAGGTTCTCCTCGCTCTGCCCCGCAAAAGCGTGACCGTGTAGGAGCTGTCCCAGTAATTTTTAGCCATGTTTAGTATCCCTTCTAGCACGGCACCGCGTAGTTTAGGGCACAAACATGGGATTCTCACATTTGGAAACCAGTCCGAGGATCGCAGGAATGCAATTGTTATGGCTGTGGCTGTCTACAGAAAGTTTCTATGCATGTCATCTGCGAGAACCAAGTGAATTTCTACCTGAGGCCACAAGCACCCAGAGCGTTACTCCTGTTACAATTGCTAGGGCGTAGGGCGTAGCTATTACCAAATTGTACGCAATGGGGGTTACAGGTATACCGAGGCCCCGAAACCCGAGGCCAAATTCCCCAAACCCCTTCGGAAGCCAATCCATACAACCAAGGACCTCGGTGCAATGGGACCTCTTGCTGAAAGTCAACGCTTTTTCTAGTTGGTTTATATCCTTGCAGGTTCAACAACCCTAAACCCTATACCCTAACCTAGCAATGAGATACTTTGGCTGGGTAGAAGTTCAATGTTGCCAAGTTCCTGGACTCCAAGCATGTTTGCAAGTAGGACTCTCCTCCTGACTCATGGTTGGCACTTCTTGTGAACATGGAGAAAGGTTTGTACATATGTTCCCTCATCCAGCTTCGTGGAAACAAGTGCTACTTCTTAACGGTCTTGACACAGTCTAACAAGCCCCTTGGCTCCCTTTGTGTCGCCAACATTGAGGCATCCCCTCCAAGTCATCATGTGGGTAATTCTCAAAATTATGGCTCCTTTTTGGTGGTGAATGACGGTACGGCAGCCTTTTTTTTAGAGGGTATCAGAATGGGGCCCTAGTGTTGTGAGACGTGAGGGGGCCCTTAGCCGTCATGTGAGTGATATGGAGGTTCCTAAGGCTAAGAATGATCTGCACACAGTCTCGTGTCAGGACCACCAGCATCCCCTGATGATTTCTGTATATCCCCCCAGAATACACCCGAATTTGAGCAATACCCACACGGAGGTATCCTTACCGGTCCATGGCCTTTTTGTAAAAGCAGAGTCAGCCTCTAAACGTAATTACTCTGGATGGACTACTTTGCATGGTCCCAGGTTGTGCACAAGAGGATATCACCCCTCATATCCCAATTTGAACCCTCACGAAACCCTTATCCCGAAAGTCACAGGCCTGACGAACCCGGTAGTATCCCTTGGCGCCTTTGAGACAACCATTTAGCACCGCAGGCCCTGACGCAATTTACTCCAGCTGCGATGGACGTCTCAGCTGTCAACACACCTGAGCGGGTCGCTGGGCCGCGCTTAACTCTTCTAAGACTTCAGCCAGGATAGCGCGGATAGCGTTAATGGGTGGAGCAACCCCACGTCAAGTTGCAAATCATCCCCGGAAATGCAGGCATCCTCGATTGAATGCACGGACGCGTGTTCATCGATAGTTCACACAGACTTTCAAGGGTCCTGGCCAGACTCCATGGCGAAAAGCAACAATGTAATTGCTGCCTTGAGGGCAACTGGAACTGAAATTGCGTAGAAAATGCCAGGGCACATCTTTGCGAAGACGATCTGATATATGGGGCAGATGTTTGCAAAAAGATGCACTTAGTTTTATGGGAGCTTGATCTTATACAGCAGAAGCTACATAACTCAACCTAGCTTAGTGGTAATATTAAGTGCAATGACGACAGACATCGTACAATTCTGGTGATAGTGGCATGCTTACAGTGTCCAGAATCAGAAGCCAGCGCATATCCAATCTTGATATCTGAACTCTTCACAATGATGCTGCAAACCACTCTTCACCACCTCGACCGCCGCTCCCGCCAATGCCTTCGAAACCACCGCCACCATTTGCATCAGCGCTAGCAGCAGCCGCACCACTTGTACAACTAGCATTGCCGCTTGCGACTGATATTCGTAGAAGCCAAGAAATCTGAGAATATCCACTGTGATTCAGCATATTAGCATCAAGGACATGAATAGTTGGATTCCTCCCCCCCCACCACTCAGTAACAGTTGGAGAATAACTGTGCTGTGGATGCATCATCAGCACCTAGTACGATTGCCCAATTTTTGGATTAATTGGGCAGTAGCCTCCCTAAACCTTAAACCTTAATCCCTAAACCCTAAACCTTAAACCTTAATTTGGCAATAGCCAAGCACAGGTCTTCTCTGTGGTGGTATGCCTGGCTGGGCTCATCGCTTTCAGCTTCTCAGCTTTCTTTTGCTGCAGCATACGTTTTAGGGCTTAGGGTATAGGGTTTAGGGTAGAGGGTTTAGGGCTTAGGGTTTAGGGTTTAGGGTTTAGGGCTTAGGCAGGGCGCAGGCTTCAGGGTATGGGGGTTGTATGCCCCTGCATGAGAATGGAGGTCTGTCCCTGAAGGTTTGCAGCGTCTGGGAGTCTGATTTAAGAGGGACCCCAATATAACCCCTATATAATATAGCAGTTTCCATGTTATTTTCCATTATCCCATATAATTAACCCCAATATATACCCTATATAACCCATTATAGTAGTCTCCATTTTATTTTCCATTATCCCCATATAACCCCAATATACTAAAGTTGAAGAAACCCCAAGCTCCAAAGCTCAAAGCCGCTAGCATTGGACACCCAAGCCCATCAGCCCCTAAGCAAAACGCCAGGCCTTGGGTACCGCCCCCCCCCCCCCAGTAACAGTCTATATAGGGGTCCTATTAAGGGCTATANNACTGAAGGGGGGCAGTACCCAACCCAGCTGGGGTTGGCCAAGTTGCTACGCCGCATGACTGCTTCATCTTCGCACAATGCCAACTCTTCACAGCTAGCTCTGAATCCTTGGTAACATCGGGGCCTCATAACAGGCGTGGACCCTGAACTCCCCAAACCCCTCAAGCCCCAAAGCCCTCCAACCCCAATCTTGACACCTCCAAATGCTTCCCAAAATATGAGGACCCCAATATAGACCCCAATATACTATAGTCCTAATTATCGGGACCCCCCAAAAAAGTGCAAATCCCTAAGCCCCCAAACTCTCTTAGACCCAGGTTTCTTCTTGGGCACCATCAATCAGTCCTTCGCCAAGCTGCGAAGTTTGACCGCCCAGGAGACGAAACAGAATCAGCTAGTCAGGCGTTGCTTGCCTGAAGGTTTGGGGGTTGAGGGGTAACCGTTGCTGGCGTCTACATTGCTGGTTCTTCACCATTGAGGATGGTATATATATATATATTTCTGTTTGACCAAGGTCGTGGTTTACGGTAGATGGTGTATGCTGTGTTCAGAGTCATTCACTTATGATATGTCTTGCTCACACCACTGCCACCACAGCCGCCGCCGCCATCGCCGCCATCGCCACCACCAGTGCTACTCTGCTACTACTACCTACCGCAACCATCACAATGATGGATGAAAACCTGGAGGATCAGGGCGAGTGCAGCAGTGGCACGACGCAGAACACTTATATGACCGGCGGCGTCATCATGTCATCATCGCCATCGCAGGGCAATCACCATCAGCATCAAGACGATCACTATCAACACATCGTCACCATCATCAGCAGCAGCATCGTCATCTTCTCCTGACCATCATCTTCGTTCCCATCCTCATATTCTTCGGCGTACCTTCATTATTGGGACTGGGAGGATCATAATACTAAGTCCTACAGCCTGAAACCCGCAGGGCCCCAGACCCCCAGCCCCAAACCTCGCACCCCTAAAATCCGAACTGAGCTGAGAGCTTTGCAAACGGAATCCGCTACGATCCATGAGGGAGAGCCTGCCATTTGTCCCGAAGACCTCAAGGCTGTTGGGTGTGGAGTTCAGGATACTGCCCTGGTTGGAGAAACAGACCCCTGCTCCCCCCGAAACTTAGCTACCTTTTCAGGATTGTATTCTCTTCTTCTGCGGGCCATAGCTCCAGGCTCATGATATATATCCGTAGAGGTCAAACAGTTACCGCAGTTTCGAATAACTCTTTGCTAAGGCTATGTTGGAGACAAGCGCGTCTCCGCCGACCTTTCCAGTCAGGTCCAATGGTGCGGAGCATGAATTATGGTCCTGTTCTGGGATAGTTACGTAGCCAAACTAACTTTTTCAAGCTGGAGTAACTTTGTGTGGAAGCAACCTCCTCCCGCAATTGGTAGGGTTGCAGGAATTGAAAGGTCCCCCAAACTGGAGACAAAGTGAGGCTTATCGGTTTGAGAAACTCGAGCCCTTGAACCTTAAACACTAAAACCCCAAGTCCTGAACCTTTGATCCATCAAACCCCAAACTCGAAAATCCACTGCCCTAAGCCTTGAAATTTGTAGAGGTCCTGGCTTGCATCCGCCAGCGAGGGCTGGGGAAGGCTACTGGCAACTGGACATCATGCTAGTTGATGGTTCAGGCTTTAGGATTCAGGGGTTGGGGTGTACTGTATGGGGTGCTGGGTGGCCTTTGTTACCAGACCCCCCAAAGCTAGATACATTTGGGGTTCAGCAAGAGTTCTCATGGGCTCAATGTATCAACGTATACAATTCCTCTGTTCCCGAGGATAGACGTTGAAACATGTCAAGTTTCTGAAGCGAGCCCGAGCTATGTCCTCTACCCCAGACTGTGAGACATGCGGGGAGGATTTTTTAGTGCAGGGTTACGAAGAATGGATGCTGTGTGTCTTGTTTGGGTGGGGTTGGGATTTCTTGAGTTCTGGCTTTCTGATTTTTGCATGTTCTGAGATCAGGTGTTCTTGGTAATGTGCTTCGAACCATTCTGTGGGCTTCTTTTACCTGGGCCCCAAAAGTAGGTAAGATTATAGCCCCAAATCCCTAAAAGTCGCCCAGACGGCCATTGTTCTGCATACTTTTG